GAAAGAAATGAGGATTTGTCGCGCGGTTTAAGGCAGAACAACTCGGGCGCCGACTTCAGTCGTGGGTGAAGTGGGTAGAAGTCACGGGATGCAAATTGGGACTGCCACTTAAAGGCACCTGCAGGTCGATCACGGATGGACGATTCCTTCAGTAAGCTTGCACGCCACGTCTCGCTGCACTGAGGATGCCACGTCGCATGTTGGTGAAACGTTTGCAACCAAACTGCCAAGCTCGGAAAACAAATAAACAATCGAATTTCGATTTGTCATACCTACTGTGTGTTCTGGCTACCAGAAATATCTCTAATTCCAATATGCTGTTGGTGGCGGATAAGATCAAAGTTCAGTTTGAAGTGCTGTAGGGCCCTAATTAAGACGGTACACCGAAATTAAACAAGTAACAGGTCTTCTAAGAAAATTCGTCACATGCAGTTTGATTTTTCAACTAAAATCGGCATTTATCTAGACTCAACCGGGAAACTTAAGTGAAAACTACTGTAAGAGGGGAGAAGCAAGTTATTCTGCTGAATTCCATGCACAGGTCTCCAATTGTGATCGTTTCGCAGAAACGCCCACCGTCGTACAAAAGTGCACTGATATCGTGAAACTTTCAAGCAGTTACTGTAGAATCATTGTTAAATTCCTTCAGGCAACGATGTGACTGGTAATTGGAGGGTCAAATTTGGACTACACGTTGTGTGATTGGATTGCGATGCGCAATCTCAATGTAATGGACTGTGGTTCACATTGAAGTGAACCTTAGTCACGGCGATCACTGGGACCGTGCTCAAAGCAGATGGAAACTGGGTGTTGCCCACCCAGTGTTTTCGGGTGGGCAACACCCAATTGCCATCTGATGTGACGGGTAATTCAGCCACCTCCAGCAGAGAAGAGCTCTGATAAAAGCGGCCTCCGAGAAAATTTATGGATAGACATCTCCGGAATGTTGCGGCCGTAACGTCAATGGATCGTCCTCTATCCTCCGTACAACGGCCGTTCTACGAGTGTTTACTCCGACACGATTACAGTCAAACGCTATGCTGTTGATGCAAATTGATGTCACATTAAACAACTGGATATTTAACCTTTAAATTCGAAGGCATGCTCCAGCTTTGCGTGAGAAGGTTCGTGAGAAAGTAAGCAGACCTAAAGATTGTGGCAACCGGGATTGTTGGATAATTGCTGTTTTCGTAAGAAATTCCCAGACGGGTGATGCCCATAAAACTTTGGACAAAACACCCACTTCATAAGAACGACGGCAGCCATCGAATCGAGTGAAGCAGACGGATGATTACAAAGTGGTCTGACGATATCAACGGACAGGTGGTAAAGTAGATGTGCAAGCGCAGGAAACGAAGTATGGAGGGTGCTTGTCGAGATGTTAACCACCACAATCCAGCCTTGTTGCGTATTACTGTTCGTGGATGCACTCCAAACAGAAAGTATTAGGGTGGCCACACAGAAAATGTGTGTGTCAATTTAGCTGGCTGCGTATAGGTGCTACTTGTTCAGCGCATGCACAAAATCGATCTAGTCCACGGTTGGATCGAAACGAAATTCCCAGAAACAAAGGCTAACTATGGGATCGCCATATTTAGATTAAACACAACCTTCAGTATGAAAGAAGTTGGAAAGGCAGTGCTGGTAGATTATGGTTATCCATCGGTACATGCAATGCTCTCGTGCAGAGGATGCATCCGACACTATTTAAAGTTTTGTAACGAGCGAATTACTAAGTTGTGTATACTCCACGACACTTATATAGGGTTTAGGGTTCAGGAAAGGTTACATTATCAAAGATCTCCAGTTGCCGCAGAACTCGGTACTTCAGGGACATACGGTTTATTTGAAAAAGCAACCTCATCGAAAGTGACTGAATAACTAGCCTGTAAAGGCCTCGATGTATGTAACTAAGCCGTTTTCTTAACTAACGCCGCTTATGAATTCACGAGATTCTTCCTTTGCCTCAGTCAAATAAACTCACTCCAGCATAAAGACGGAGATGTGTATACGTCCAATCAGCTACTCCGTTCGTTTGCGGCAACCTAACTGCTTGCATCATCAAAGAAATCCGTCTCGTCCATCTGATTACTTACTCCCACCACACCAGTGGCGGGTTGGATAGTATGAAGGTCATTGCGCACTGAAACGGGTCAAAAACCTAATGGCAGCTGGTAGTTTTGGTGAACGGAACGGTTGCGGAGCTAGTGGACAAAATGGTGATGGAGCGCTACTCACGGGGCCTGACCATACCACGTGGGCAGGGAGAAGCTTGGCTGCAGTCTGCGTTGGCCCGGACGACAACAAGCGAACGGTATGCTCACGCTGTGTTCCTTGGCTATCAAGAATGGGTGCTTGGTAGCTGCCCATGGGGGGCCGATGTGGGATCATTGGAGGGAAAGCGAAGTGCCATCCATGCGAGTAAATTAGAATCGCGTGGGCAAAACGGACAACGCAGATTTGAGGCGGTTTTGCAGGAATGAAGCACAGCGTGACCCCGGGTAACGCGTGAGTGGGTTGGGTCGATCACAGCAGACGAACGGTGCATGCGGCCAATGAACGTAAACAGAAGGCGGCAACGTGAAGTAACCAGTGGAAATCTACCACGATACAAATTTGCGTAGAGTATGAATCATCCTACGTTTGGCGAATAACGGATATCGATCACAGTTAACACTTTTCTTTGACTACCAGGGAGTGGTAGGTGATTTTAGTGAGATAAGTAGAGATCTATCACGTTTAGATTCAGACAGTCATCACAAGCCCAGAAAAGCGCTGTACGGCCGTTTTATACTTTCGGGAATTGTCAACAGTGTCCATTCCGTCTGGTCGCTGTGGGGATCAAAGCAGAAACTTGACTGTCGCCAATCTGTGGTTGAGACCATTGGACTCCGGCGGACGGTAACGACCGTCGTGATTAAGTTACTGGATGTGATATAGCGCCGTTCACTCTCGGAGGTTTATACGATATGCTTCGTTAGGTTGCATCATAAGTCAGTATTTAAGCGGGCACTGTTTCGTTGATGCATTGCGGAATAAATTTTGCACGCGAAGAAGCAGGATGAGAGCAGGGAATAGCTGGTGAAGCGTCAATGTCATATACAGGTGCCCCAAAAGAGCTGGCGAGAAAAAAGAGGGCGGTAATTTAGTCACTGGGGCTTAAATGTTTGCGACACACGTGCAATCCTAGAGAAAGACGAATCGGTAGATTTGAGGTTGGTTTGTTTCAAGGGCTCAAAATTTGCATTGGGGATGAAGGGACCAGCCACCGGCGATAGGTGCCAAAACTGCGCATTATTGTGCAGTGTCTCCATTATCACAAAGGTACCAAGATCGGAGGAACGAGAATGCAGAAAATCGTGTAGAAATTTAAACATCTAGACAGCTCTATCAGCGGCTGTGGAATGGAAAATGAGATCACAAACCGTAAAACAAAGCCCGAGGTGCTTTTGACAATCTCTGCCACCTGTTGCGTCTATACCACATCACTGTCATCCATAAGGTCAGAATTTACAATGTAGCCGTCCGTTCAACCATCCTATACATTGTGAAATCTGGCCCATCAGGTCAACAGACATAAAGAGATTCCCGAAAGGATGAAACGCGCGTACAGTGCTTTTCCGGGCGTGGGGTGGCTGCCTGAGTGAGTCTAGATGTGACGAATTTCTACCTATAGACATAAAGAGACTTGTTACATTCGCCCATCGCTGTCTTCGTAGCTCAGCTCATGTCTGGTGGGAGCACTGCGTGAACAGTGAATGAGTTCGGCGTCGAGCATTTGGTACAGAAAGAGCGAGTGAACCGCTCAGCACCGTTATAGTACGCACCACGCTCCAATGGCTGGGTCACGGGTTGGGCGTGCCAACACACGGACTCCCGCGATATACGTTTTTGCGCGCCGGGGGTGTGGATGGAAAAAGAGGACGGGAGGCCAAGCGATGATTTGGTCAAGAGGAATGAAGTCCCGCACTTCGAACTTGGCGTCGGTTGGTACCTCCCTACTACCGGGCTGGGGTCCCAAAGACGATTCACACGTTTGGTTGGATACGCTTGTTGACACGGAAAAGAGACGACCTCAATAGCATTTGTGTTGTGGGTCTCTTCGTTCCTCCCCTTCCCGCTTAGTCTCCCCTCTAACCACGATCTCACTCGTACTTAGCAGCTCGAGCTTTGTTATATATCCTATCTTTGGTATTTCGGCACAATAGTTAAAGTGTGCTACTCACCTTCAGCTAGCGGGTAATGATGATGACGGCTGCACCACTTCTTAAACTAGTCAGTTCACTGCACTGGGATATTCAAGCAGCGTGTTGGATATTGAACACACAAGTAAGTGGACTGTGGCGAGTTCACAATCGACGTCTAACGGGGTTGAGATCCACACGTTACCTCAGAATCAGTGTGTCTCGTACGCGTAATTGATAGAAAGCAACAGTGTGACAATTTGCTACCACAAAGACTTAGCCAATGTAGGAAAACGGCAAAACTGCGGATAGCATTCGCTCTTCGCAAGCCACTTGGGCACATGCCAATCAGTGAACTCAGACACCAGTATCTGTGCTCGTATTGATGGATATAAACGCTTAAATTCACCTGAGACTACGAGGCCATCCGGCTTCAGGTCAACTGATTTAAAGGACATAATATCATGGGACTGAAGTGCTAACGGTCGGTTGAATCCCTAGGATCCTTTGCGAAACATGCTTGCGACGCCAGTGAGCAACCTCGGGATGTTAAAAAACTTTCTATGGGATTGCGAGTTCCGTGCTTGGTGGATCAGAGGGTTTACTAGGCTTAAAAGTATCACTGTGGCCTGTGAAATCGACTAGTCTCTTTCCATATGGGGTAAAATGGAGAACTTAATTGTAAACTTAATGTAAGATCGCAGCTCAGACTTGGGCTAGAGTTGGTGCGTGCCCATGCACACACACACGCATTGCGCGCGGTGATAACATCGTTTGCAGTAAGGACATCACCAAAACACACATGGCCTCACTCACTTTGGCTGTCGGGAGGGGTATTTGCCTCAAGCAAACATCATCGGTGGGAGTGTTGAGCACTTTGAGCATAACAAACAACACGTGTACACACGGCGCAGCGGTTAAGCCATCTGGTTGACGAAACCCATCACCAGTCTCTTCATACGGCGGATCATTCTGGCAGCTGCAAAGCTGAGGTCCAATGACTACACGAAAACGAGGGCGCCTGGTGTCATTGACTGGTTCAGCTTGACTCGTGTCTGCGGTCACAGTATGGGGTCGGTGAACCTTTGGCACGAGGACAAATGAATTGGGTCCCGGTTGGCAAAGTGTGATGAAGGGGTCGGTCAACGCTTGATGGACGCGCATCTCAATGGATCCGATCGTTGGGTTATCGGATGGGTTATGACTTTCCGCAGATGCATTTGGCCGGGAGTTTAGTTGCGCTTGAATTGGGAAATCCTGTGACGGCGAAGCAACTCGCACGTACATCATAACGTGCCCGCGTTCACCAACGGAAGTACTGGGAAAAACAGATGATTGGAATGGGATTAATTGGATGTTGCGTAAATAGTCTGTAAAAGATTGGAGGCCACAAGTTATACGAAGCGGGCCTCGCGAATACAAATATATGGGCCTCAGTTAAATAGTGTGCAACAACACGTACGTTTGAAAGGAAGATTGCAAAGTAGAGTTAGAGAAGATCACAAGATTGGGATATTCTTAGTTTTTCTTGGGGCAGCTAAGTTTCTGTGATCAGTTGGAATGTGAAGTAAAACGTAATTCACTGTTGAACCAAGACAGTTGGCAGGTAAAAAGGATTAACGGTTCATATGCATAATATACTCGTTTTATCAAGTTAGACAAATACACAATCCTTCAGTCTACAAGAACGTTTTAAAGGTTGCATGGAGGAAGGAGCGGTGTTACCGAAGGATGTATTATGACTTGGAATACGTAAGGAGAAACAGCCTTCATGGACCGGTACAAGTGTCGCATATCTCGGGCATTCCTGGTCATGGGAGATGCAAATAAAGGTGGATACGTCTTGTACCAGGTGGTTTGGAGCGACATCGGCCTTAATTGAGAGGAAAACGAAGATAAATGGCTTAACTACACGGTACCACTCCTGGCGCTACGCTGCGCTCTCTATCAGTGAAGATGAATTCGAGAAAGCGGTGGAAAAAGCCAGTCAGCATTTGGGTCGGCTGTGGAGCGCATTTGGCCGGTTTGATTCTACCTTCTTTTCGAAAATGCTCAACGCTTACGTGAGGTAACATGCAGCATACGCCATGCAGGTGTGGCACCCTTGGCAGAAACATGACCTAACTGTTTTTAAGAAGTTACAACAGGGGGAAGACTAAGTAGAGTCTGCCAAATCCCCGTTCTTAGTTTAGATTAAAGACCTTGGGAGTTTTTGGTGCACTACATCGTCGTGCGCATTGTGATCTTATAGTTGTGAATCAGATCCTCAAGGATCCTAAATGCCTCTGCCGACAGTGAAACAGCCACAAGACCTCATTGAGAAACGAACATTTGAAATTGTTCACACAGTTGGATTGTCGCCGGGGCTTTTTTCCATTTGTGTATCCCCACACACTTCTGAAAACATTCTGCTACAAGAGGTATTGTCTGGTGATGCTCTAACTGCACATCTTACTTGGCATGAATGTATAGTATAGTTACTTTCGCACAACCTTCTCATAAAGTATAGCATAGAGTCCTGCTTTACTTGGCTTAATGACTGATACTGTGATTGCGTCTGGTGCGATGTGAGTCAGTCTGGGTTTTACGGACATTGACCTACTGCACAACAAACCTGGGCGAGGTAGGCCGACTTATTATGCCGTCCAAGAGAGCGCCCTCGTCTGGCACGTGCAGTCACTCGGCGTAGTTCAGCGGATTACGGAGGTCAGCAAACCACTTCAAGGCACCAGGATTCGGTCTCTTTTCATGAGCGGATATTTCCCCTAAAATGCTACTCGTCGACCACTACAATATTCCAAATATGGTGAACGGCATTCATCGTGGTGTAGGGTACCCAGGTGACAAATATTCCTAAATCGAGCAAACCGCTTTTTCTCGGCTGTGTTCAATGATCATTAGTCGAATGTCAGCTCGGCACCCGTGAGTGTACCATTATTTTAATGTTGCTTCTCTTTGCTGGTCCGGGGGCAGCAATGACTAACGACTACGTCACAGGCGTCAGTACGAACGAACCGTATTCCATAGCTGATGCCAGTTGACCGCTTTTTTCAGCGTGTATTATATGCAGTCGCTGAATCTGGTTTGGCGAAACTGCGAGGTGACCCGTCGATGAGGTGGAGCAGATGTATGAATAAATTGACCCAGAGACTTGGTTAAGACAGTACGTGTACTCTTCATGGATCGGAAACACCAGTGCTTGAAGGCCATATCGGGCAAGACACGAAGGTGCAATCAGCTGCATTATTGTATCTGGTTTCTTGCATCCAATTGTGAATAGCCCTCCTCGATTAAGTTTGTCCACTTCTTGCATTAATTCCCTTGGCGTTCTGTCATTCCCCCGACCATTTTACTTGTCGGTATTTTGGCAGTGTGAGTCGTGACAACTGGATCCACCGTACTTCGGTGCCAGGGTCAAAGCCGGTTAACTGTTGATTTCCGTAGCTTAACTATGAGTACAGCGAATTGGATGCTAGACAAGCATCAGTGCTCTCTACCAGAACAGGGCACAACTTTAACCGCTTTGTTACTGTGTCACATGTGAGTGCCAAGCTTTTTGTGTCGCAGTAAGTGCCGGTTAGGTCCCGATCTATAAAAACTTGAGCCTAAATATAGGGTAGCCGTTTGGGGCAAGTAAATCGGTGGTTCACCATAATTAGAAAGATCACAAGTCTAAGTGGCATGGAAGGCTGCCCAGACATGAAACAAAGCTATCATCTGTGCAACCACACAGAGCGTGTCTAAACATGTTTGTGTTGGTGTGTGTCCATCACTTGTCCAGCTCGCCGCATGTCTTGTCGACCTAGTTGGCAAGTCATGGGAGATAGGCTTTGGTGTGTGCTACTCGCACGTTTGCTGCGGGAGACGGTGGCGATAGCTGACACTTGTCTTCTACTCTGGTGTCAAAAGTAAAAAGTACTAAAGGGTTGGTAAAACTAAGCGCAATAAGTCTGTAAACCTATAAAAAACCACAAAAAGCACTCATTTTTCATAAGCCCTGATCAAATGAATGATTTTCTGGTAACTAGGGCGATCCGCCATATTTAAGCCGCAATCGGCCCATAGATTAGGCAGACCAACTGTCAGCGACAGTGGAAGCACAGATTTGTGGGGCCGTCACTCTGTTCAATTGACTGTGGGATGCACGTTCATGACCGGTCTACCGCAACGTGGCGGTGAGGATACATGCAGAAGTGTCCATGTGAGTAGCCTAGATGTATCTAAACTGGATTAACCTACCACATCTGTTAAATGAAGCAACACACGAGTGAGCGTTGTCGTTTCCTTTATTCTTCCTCACGCATTTACTGAAGTATAACGGCACTTTATACTAGTTTGTGTGTACACATCCCATTCCCACTTCAAGCTATCATTATAGAGTAGTGCACTTAAACCGGTAGACGCTTAAAATAACGATTTACTTATTCGACGATCATTTCAATTTTAATGTTCACTTCAACCATCCTATTGGACTTGTCAAGCACATGCTTTTTTACCCGTGATAACTCATTGTTCATTGTTCAGTATCAAGATGAGGTGCATTAGCTGCCCAACAAAACATCCATAGAAATGTAAGAGATAACGTGGCGAAGCACTGGTCCAAGGGACACGGATTGCAGCTTCAGCGAACGCATCGTGATAGCGATACGAGAGGCAGTAATAGGTGATCGTATTGAGAGTTCTTTGCAGTAATTTCCAGTCAGACAGCCTCTCACAAGTAACAGGTGCGTTAAAATAAGTTATTCCGAGATCATTGCTGATTAAACTGGTTTACCCGTTGGGCGAGTGGGTTTTGACATGCAGCCTCGATCTGGACCACGATTCAAGTGAGTAACTTCGGTCATTGAGACCGAAGATAAAGCAGACAAATGCGGCTCTGTGGTGTAGCGCTAAATGCGTTTGCCAGCAACTTCTGTGCACCCCAGGTTCAGCTCCCAGTTTAGCCGAAGAGTAAAAAATAAAAACGAGGTTGGTCGTATAGTGCAGTGTTGGGCTAGAAGAGCGCTTCACAATGGCCAAAAATTCTCCTCATATTCTCCAATAATCAATAATGGCAACAGGCTACAGGTCACCTCGATCAGTGGTGGCTTGCAATAGGAGTTATAGTTATGGGGGATAATCATGCCCGCGACACGTACATATCAAGCATAGAAGATGGGCCGTGCTCTAGCGCAGCTAGTAATCCGTTATGGTGGTTGGCCGAAATCACCGGTGGCTCAGTGCCCTAATTCACTGACTCGTAAGCGTAAGGTTATGGGTCCGCATCTGACAGGATTCGGCAGGTGCGCACTATTGACAAGTCCTGATAGGACGAAACGGCCATCTAGCGCCTTACGGGATGTGTGGCCACTTGTTCACTGAATCTGGCTGCAAGGTACCTTTCCAAAAATACAATTAATCCTCTAATATTCTATATTTTACTTGAAGTCACATTTCGATATGGCAAGAAGAATGTCTTAGTCCTGTATCCCACGGCATCCGCCTCAATCATGCGTGTATTGTCCGTGCGAACTTTTGACCTACTCTGGACGACTTGTGAAAGGACGGCGAGATAGCCCGGTGCTTTCATGGGTGGTTGTTGACTAATTACAGCTAGTTGTTGTGGCTTCCACCAAACCACCTTAACTTCATTAATAATATCGTACGAACATCTTAGGATGTGCGCCAAATGCAGATGCCTCTTTTCCCACGCTTCCCAAGGAGGCTGGTGCACACAAGCTACTGGAGATCTTACCAGCACCAGAGACATGAACACAGCTGAATTCGTCCTAGCTAGGCACCAATGTAGCTCAGGAGCATGGCGCCTATGGAGGTGCTAAATTAACGGTGAAGTATTAACAACTCCCACGCACGGTGATTGCTTTTCAAGCCAGAGGTGCTAAATTGACGCCTAGGATGATCCGCGCCATCGGAATTATTATTATGGTAAACTTGAAAGGAACGCAGTGTGACTTGAAGTTGGGCAACTGCGACGCGTTAGGCGTCATATGATGGAAAGTAGTCAGTGTCCCCAAACATACAAAAGTTGCGAGTGTGTGTAATTTAGCCCCTTGTACTCGTGGGGCAAGAGAAAACATTTATACATAGCATCGATTCCATCATATGTAAACATTTAAATAAAGAAATAAACTTTTAGTCTCGACTAAGTGAGACACGCCTGCACAGGCATAAGCATGGTAAGAGTACAAATGATCAAGAAATGTACAATCGTATAATAGGATTGTCATATATATTGAAACATGAATGTGTGTATGTGTGCGTGTAGGCATATGTAGTTGTGTTGCTTGGAC